ACCAGCTGCTTAACTAACTGAAATTTTGATTATACTCATATATTCTAGAACGAACGTGTATGATATATATTAAAGAAATAATTAAATATATATTTTATTTTCCTAAATTTGAAACTTTATTTTATTGTTATATAAATACAATTAAAATTTATTTACAACTTACTATGAGACACAGACACCATGATCCACAGACACAGAATTTACAGAATTTACAGAAGTTAATTTAAAATAAAAATTTACTACTATTAAAAATAATATGAAATAATTAAGTTGTCAAATAAAATATACTAAATCGTAAAAGAACACATAGGCGACAAATGAATTACAGGAAAAAAGAAATATGTATGTGTATAGCGCATATTAAAACTTTTATAACAAACATACAACTTTTATTGAAAAAAATCTCCATAGAACTCCACCTCCATAGAACTCATTATTCAATGAGTTTAACTGGAGGGTGCTTAATATACCTTAAGCATCTGTGAAATAAAGATTATAATGAATTACTTAGGTATATATTATTATGTGTTATAGGCTTTATGTTCCAATTGTGTAGTAAGGAAGATTTGTTGTATAAAGACCAGTATCCGAATTTGTATATAACAATTATATTAACAGAATTATTCGTTTTCATAATGATTATGTGTCCATTTTTAATCTGTAAAACGTGTCTTATAATGGTTAAGTGATCGTCACCTCTCGGTGCATAATCGGCTATGATCGTAAAATTTCCGACAGTCCGCTGTGCATCGACTATTACGCTTCTAGTTTGATGAAAATAAACAACAATACATGATCATATCGCGTTGTGTGAAGTGGAAAATTATGTAAGTGTCTAACTGTTTTATGGTTTGTAACCGTTTTGTTTTTTCCAACGTAAATCTTCTCAAAATCTTAAAAAATATTATCTTGTGTGCCCCATTAGAAACCGCTGATGTTAAGCTTTACATAAAATGGAGGAACAAATGACTAACCGTGACAAAGAAGAGCAGGGGTAAAGTCAATCAACCAGAAGAAATAGAATTAGAAGAAAAGAAGCTCAACCTTTCAGGGGATGCTTCATTCTTAAGGTGGAAGAGTTATAATGCAAATTCTCATGTAATACAAGAAAATACGGGTGCATCGTTACTAAGAATATAAACTGAACAGTTTTGGGAGTGATCTGTCATCATTTTTAATACTTAAATGTTTGTTATATGTTCACATAAGAACCTCATATAAGAAGACTATTTATAGTCACTATACAACTGTATTAGCAATATGCGTTTTATATCCAATATTCACCTGTTCGTCTGCCACAATGTTCTTATAATGGCATATAGAATTGTAATAAAGAATAAAGCGCATTTCTTTCAGTGTATTGTAAATATTTTCTATATTTTCAAAATTAATTACACAGCCCCACAAAAAAAGATGGGTTTTTAGGTTGCGCATTTGCATTCAGCATAAAAAAATTCGCAATATCTATCACTTGTTTCTCTGGTAAAGAACTTTTTGCAATGTACCATTACCTGCAATCAATATTGTGATTAACAGTTTTGTATAACTAATATTATAGGGCACATAGTCATTCTCCTAACAACGCTGTCCAACTCAAACCTAACCAAAAATAAATCCTGCAAAACATTGACCGGGACAAATCCCATTCAAAATATGCTTATTAAAAATCTCCTTTGCCTTTTTTAAAGATATTATATAAAAATTGTAATAAGAAGGCCAACCCACACAGACATGCTCCAAGTTTTTAAATCTGTGCTGCTGTGCAAAATAAGTCCCAAATTTTTATAAATCACTGGCTATTACAAAACTGAACAGACTTAGTTATACGGGAAATGAAGATGGCATTACAATTAGAACCATGTGTTTTGCTTCCGACAGAGGACAGTTCTAGGACTGTCCGCTGACAGAACCAAAAGAAGCCTCATAAACAGGGATGGCCAGAAGTACGGAATAAAATTCATATCTTTTGAATGAGTTAATTTTTTTTTAAAACGCCGAAACACGTTAACTGATTTTGGTTTTTTCCCATCTTGCGGTTATATAATAATTCATTTTTCTTCACCCCTCTAAGGCATGAGGGGGCTCGTTGAAAAGCTTATAGAAAATCGAATCCAGCCATACCAAATAAACAAGTTTTATTTTTTCAATAGCAAGGTTTTTAGGGTTGTATAAAACACCTACTTAAAATACACCTAAATAAAATTGAATTATCTTCAGTGTTATCCTCCATGAATTTGCACAGAATAAAATAAAGAATTTGAAACTGTACTTATCACTACTAATGCAAAAAATATATATTTTTTATGTTGCGTTTTTTTGGTACCACTTGCCAGGCTTTCTGGTTAATTTTTCGCTTTAGTTGTAAATTGGAGTTTGAAACGTTACTATTGTGTCAAAATCAAGTTATTTACTGAATTGCAATGGTATTATCGGAAAGGCAACGCATCGAAATCTTGATATTGTTTGGAAGTGGAGGCAAAATAAGAAGTCAGGCTGAAGTGCGCGATTTATTTAATGCGAAATATCCCGAAAACCAAATATCGCAAGGGACAGTTAGTAAAATATTTCACAAATTTGAGGAACACGGTACAGTCCAGACTTTGCCCAAAACTGGACGGGCACGTGCTTTGAATGAAGAAAAGAAATTAGACATTGCATTAGAATTTGTTGGAAATCCTCATACTTCAACTGTTTCATTGGCCCGCAATTACGATGCTTCTCGAACTGCAATTCGAATGTTTCTGAAACAAGAGAAATACCACCCCTATAAGGTATGTCTTGTCCAAGAGCTTTTGGAAGACGATTATGATAGGCGATTACAATTTTGTGAAGAAATGATGAGACGGTGTGACGACAATAATGGTTTTCAACGAGACGTACTTTTATCGGATAAAGCTACGTTTTATTTAAATGGAGTGGTTAACAGGCACAACTATCGCTTTGGTCCTAGGAAAATTCAAGGGGACATACGAATCGCATACGCAGCATCCACAAAAAGTTAATATATGGGCAGGTATCATCAACAGCAGAATCTTGGGCCCATTCTTTCTTTAAGAAAATCTTACTGCCGCACGCTACCTGGATTTCCTAACATTTGACCTGATACCTGCTCTAGCTGTGATTTTCCCTCATGAAATTGATCCTGATATATCGAATGAAAGAATTTGGTTCCAACAAGATGGCGCTCCCCCACATTTTGGTATTGATGTTCGAAGATACTTAGATGAAATGTTTCCAAATCGCTGTATTGGTAGACGGGGCACACTTGAATGGCCGTCAAGATGCCCCGACTTAACACCCCTGGATTATTTTCTTTGGGGATATTTCAAAGAAAGAGTCTACCAGGACAGACCGGATAATATTGAGAATTTAAAGAACAAGATTAGGGCGGAGATGCATAATTTACCAGCTGAAGTCATTCAGAATGCTGTGGACAGCTTTTACTATCGTCTTGGAGAATGCCAAATAGTGAATGGAGGACATTTTCAGCATTTGCGACATTGAGTTTATTTTTGTAAATTATCTAGTTGTTTCAATTTGTAAATGAAAAAAAACTTGCTATTGAAAAAATAAAACTTGTTTATTTGGTATGGTTGGATTCGGTTTTCTATAAGGTTTTCAATGAGCCTCCTCATGCCTTATGTTTCCATTTGAAAAAAGAAAGTAGGGGTAGCTGGGGGTTAGGGGGTTGAAGAAAAATGAATTATTATATAACCGAAAGATGGGAAAAAATCAAAATCAGTTAACGTGTTTCGGCGTTTTAAAAAAAATTAAGTCATTCAAAAGATATGAATTTTATTCCGTACTTCTGTCCATCCCTGTAGATACCTAAAGATAAGCACCAGCATTCAACAGAAAGTTGACACTAACACAATTCACGATATCATTAATAAAAGGAACAACAAAACATTGGGCCAAGTGTCGAACCTTGGGGCACACCTGATGTTCGATCACTGAATATTCGTGTTTTTTTTATTAATTTTTATAATGTTTTAGTGAAATATTAATCGATAACCTAGGATTACCTTTTCAATGATAAATTAATAGCTCATAATAAATGCATTTGTAGGACATCTGCGGGGCGCCACGCACGGCCTCGGAAGCCTCCCGGCGCATATCTCACCCGGCTAATTGGAGAACGGTTTCACGGCTGACATGGCTGTCAAACAACGGCCGTTCCGCCAGTTTATTTTATTTCCACTCTCCCATTTTAGACCCATAAAAAATACTCGACGGGGCGATGTTCCTCTATACGCCACATACAATTATTTTAACTATTCGCCGCCGCCGACTAAAATAAAATCTCCCAAAGAAACGGTACGCGTCGAGGACGGAAGAACATCTGTTCCAAGGTGGTGTTGCACATGTACTTAATTAGTCGTATTTTTTAAAGTGTTTTGTCACTTTCCGTAATGATCTCGTACTGGGACGCGTTTGAAGTGGAAAACGATTTATGAAATACCGGGTGGATCCGAAAATCGTCAGTTTTAAGAAAAAATTAACATGTAGTAACTTGCCACATAAATGGTTGACTTCCTTGTACTCAAATATACAGGGTGATTTCACATTAGATGCAGAAACTGCAGGAATAGATTAGTTGCGAGACTGCGTTCGAGATACAGGGTGTTCAAGTTTCTAAAAAAAAATATTTTTTATCATATCTTCATATTGCGCTGAACGATTTGAATGAATTTATACAGCGTATTCACTTAACAAGACGTTTTGTTGAATGTAATATTAAGCTCGTGTCATTGACCAGTGGCGTGCTACTGCAGACAGACTACAAAGACACTGAAAATAAATATAATAATAATACAGTAGAGCTTCGATAATCCGTACTCAGGCTAATCGGAACGCCGCTGTAATCCGAACTGCCGACTGCCCCTCTCTTATCGTGGCCGCTGATCTTATGTTTTGTTTTCAGTTGCGAATGAGTTACCTCGCGTGTTCACGTTACTCTGTGCTAAACTCGCGCGCCACATGTTTTAGAGGTTATAAAAATGGTTTCTACACCGAAACGCAAACATAAAACTTTAACTATAGCTGAAAAGTGTGCCATACTGGATAGTTTGAAAGATGGAGTGTCTGGAACTTCTCTTGCCCTTAAGTATGGTGTTGGAAAATCGACAATTACTGATTTAAGAAAAAAGAACAGAAAATACGGTCGTTTGTAGCTCAAACCGAGAAAGGTCCAGGTTTAAGAAAAACGCTAAAATTGCCAGAAAATCCAGTGCTCGAAGAAGCACTTTTCACTTGGTTTTTAGAGCAAAGACGAAGACACGTTCCTTTATCAGGCGAAATCGTAATGCATAAAGCCAGATTCTTTCATAAAAAACTAACAGGGTCTGATTTCAGTGCAAGTAGAGGGTGGCTGGATAATTTCAAAAAGCGTCATGGCATACGGCAGCTGAAAGTGTCAGGTGAGAAAGTCTCTAGTAATGCGGAGGCTGTTCAACCATTCCAAGAAAAGTTTTTGAAAGAGATAAGAGAAAAAGACCTTTGTCCTGAACAAATCTACAATGCAGACGAATCAGGATTGTTTTGGAAGGTTCTGCCAGATAAAACTTTAGCCTCTTCTGCTGAAACTAGTGCTTCTGGATCCAAGGTATCTAAAGAAAGAATCACTTTTATGCCTTGTGCAAACTCGATAGGGAATCATAAATTACAGTTACTAGTCGTAAGGAAGGCCAAAAGCCAAGATCTTTTGGATCCGTAAAATTACCAGTGCATTATCAAGGACAAAGGCGTGCTTGGGTAACTAGAGATATTTTCCTGGAGTGGTTCAGAGAACATTTCGTTCCAGAAGTCAAACGTCATTTGAAGAAATTACGTCTACCACAAAGAGCATTATTGCTCCTAGATAATGCGCCCGGACATCCAGATGCTGAAGATCTGACTACAGAAGATGGCAATTTTTCCGTACTGTACATGCCACCATACTGCACACCCTTGATTCAGCCTATGGATCAAAACGTAATTCAAAATGTCAAGATTAATTACAAGAAGAAACTGCTGATTCAAGTTTTTGCGCAACAAGAAGATGATGAAAGTTTAACACTACATGATGTTATTAAAAGCATCACAATTAAAGACGCAATTTTTTCACTAGCGCAATGTTGGGATCACGTGTCGATGTCTCTCATCAAAAAATCTTGGAAGCCTCTATGGCCTGACCAATTCAATGAAGCAGAAAATGGATCAGAAGAAAACGATGGCTCTGACGTGGAAGACAATCTCCCACTCAGTCTTCTACGCAACCGTGGATATACAGAAGAAACCATTTCCACTTTCTTGACAATCAGCGAAGAGGAGAATTGCACAGAACCCATAACTGATGATGAGATCATAGCCCAACTTAGGCAAGAGACTGACGAGCTTTTTGTTGACAATACTTCTGCTTTAAACGTCAAGAAAATTCCTCATTCACAAGCTATATCAGCACTGAATACTTGTTTGGATTGGGCTGACGAAAATTACTTTTCTTTATCCGAAAAGATGATGCTGCGAAATTTGATGGACAAAGCCTTTTCTTGGTCAATAAATAGAACCCGCCAAACTAAAATTGATGACTTTATGAATAAGTAACGTATATTTTGTGGTTTAAATATGTATCTTGTAGTAGGCACCTCAATAAATATACATATTCTGTCAAAATATACTTGCCTTTTTTTAACATACTATAATCCGAAGGCCCCGCCAGTCCGAACAGGGGTTGTTTTTTGGTAGTTCGGATCATCGAGGCTCTACTGTAATATAATAATAATAGTGTTTATTAGTTAGTAATTTTATAAAAAATATATGCACAAATTTAATAAAGCATGCGAATAAAAATGTTTCAGATACATATTACGTCTATAATTATGTTATTTCATATACAAGGAAAAATTAAAACATTCAAACATGTAAACAAATACCGACAGTCCTCCCTGTAACCAATGCTACCAACTGTTCTGACTGCAGAACTATTGCTATTCTCTGCAGTCGAAATATTCCTTCACGTTCTGAGCAATTAACCCAAACAATGTTGGCATAATTGAGAATGGAACCCACGAGTGAGTGGTATGCCGTTAGAGGTATAGTTGTTACGATGTCAATTAGAACCTGTAAATCTTAAAGCACAGGACCGTATGCACTTCTCCTGAAATTTCTTCGAATGCTTTGACCATGATGTGTCTCGTAATTTATACTCGAATAGAAATTCGGCGAGTCCGGTATTGGTAAACTAGTCCGCCTGATATAGAATTGACGGCGGCGCGCTGGTCATCAAAGCAAATCTGTATTGGTCTACTAGGTCGTAAGTAATTTTTTTGTATGGTACACGGGTTCACTTAGCTTTGCCGCTTTGCCAGTGCCGTGCAGAGTATTGCTTGGCGGGGTGTGTTGTTGGTATAATACGTATTATTATTTATTAGTTGATATTATTACTTGTTCATATCGTAACCAGTACATGGTAATAGTTATTAAAATAAATGTTATATGTAATTATCTAGTAATTTAGCGTGGCTCTCTCGAGACTCTTTGAAGCGGAAGATAACGAAATAACTCGGGAAAATACCCAAATAGTTGAACCGGTCGAAAGTATCGAAACAAAGTCAGAGTTTAAAAACAAAGATTTACACGTAAAAAGTCAACGTATTATATTAAATATATATGACTGTTTGAAAATTGAAAATAGTGAACAATGCTATGAAGAAGTTAGGAAACATATTAATTAATTAACTAAGATATCGAAAACGACAATTTATCGCGTAATTAAAGGATTGATCACGGTACAAAGAGCTAAATTTTTCTGGACGTCTATAGATTCCGTAGAATTTATGAGTAATGTTTTTATGCGATTCCAATTGAGAACGTAATAACTATACAACAAAAGGAACTGTACCCTGCAGGCATTTGCTAATTTTGCGGATACGGTGTCTGCATGAGGTTTCCAAGAAATATGAGGATCAAGTTCAAACCCAAAAACTTAATCTTCAATGGATTTCTGTAATGTTCTATATCTCGAAGAGAAAATAACATTTCCGCAGTTTGTTTGTTTGGTTTAAAGAAAGATGATTACAAAAAAAACAGTCAGCTGCTCTCAACTGAGTGATTCTGGATCTTTCCAGTACTTCGTTTAAATTGACACACTGAAATCGGTCAGCGACATGTAGTCAATAAAGTCGTTGATGTATATAATAAAGAATAGTGACCCCAAGGTAGAACCTTGAGGTACACCTATATTTACAGCTTTAGGTTCAGATATATATATATCCATTTACGTCTATCACCTGTTTTCTATTTGTTAAATACGATAAAACTAATTTTAAGGCAAAGTTACCAAATTTATACTAGGACAATTTTTTTCTAAGAATAGCATGATCGGCACAGTCGAAGGCTTTAATGAGATCCAAAAATATGGATTGAGAATATAATCCCTCTTCAAAGCACGACGCTGTATAATTAATAAAACTGTCAATGGCTGACGTATTTAACCCTTTGCGAAACCCAAATAGTCCGGGCGATTTAGGTTTTTTTTTTTCAAAAATCGGGCCTACCTCGAATTTTATGTGCTTAAAAATAAGTAAAAAATACAAAGAATAGAAGCTTAAATTTGTGTATTCGTAAGGGTCGAGCGTCATATTGTTTATAACAAAAGAAAAAAAAAAATTACTATTTTTTTCAGTTTTTCGCTTATATCTCCGAAAATAAGTCTGTAATCGACATGAGGTGTGCTTATTGATTTTGTTCCTGAGCTGCTTTCTAAACACCACAATCCATTTAAGTAATAATTTTGCGAAGATGAGCGCAGCAAGGGCATTATGACGTCACAACGCTCCTCTCTCCTGGTTACCGCTTAGCCGCGCGGATCACGCTGCTTTAACAAACGATTACTTGATCATTTCTTGGTCGAATCGTTTCAAAAAAAATTCAGCGTATAAAGGAAGTCTTCTACTTTATAATGAGCCCAAGTTTATTACAAAATATTAAATAGAACAGCCAGAATACCGTTTTTAAGAAACAAAATTATCTCGGCTCCTATTGGTCGGATCGAAACTCTTTTTTTAAAAAATTTATGTTTTTTTAAGCACTATTTGACGCAATTGGTTTGAAATCGTCGAGAAAAGGACTCTAGTTACCGTTTTTTTATGTTTGTCAATAACTTTTTTATTTTGCAACTTAAAAATCTGAAATTTACACAGACGCGAGATAATGTAATTACCTTTCGATCTTTTCCTGACGAATTTCGATATCTTGACTTGGCAGAAGATATATGCGCTCGCGTTTTCGACTTTATAATTTTACAATACGTCGCCATTTTGAAATTGGGGGTCCGGATTGCAGGTATTTGTTGAGCACCCCAACGGTTACCTTTTCCTGTAGTTTCATCCAATTTCAGTCAAATTTGTTCTTTTGATTTAATTTTGAAAATATAGCACATTTTTCTTTTCACCGCTAATTTTGCAATATAAAAAAAGTTTTGTGAGCTTTCGCAATAGCCTATCCTGGTAGCAAATTTCCACAGCAACAAAATCAATAAGTATACCTCATGTCAATTAGAGGCTTATTTTCGGAGATATAAGCGAAAAACTGAAAAAACAGCAATTATATTTTTTACAAATTTAGGTTTTTATTCTTTGTATTTTTTACTTAATTTTAAGCCCATAAAATTCGAAGTAGGCCCGATTTTTTAAACAGGCATGTGTTTGGTCTAATTCGCCCGGATTAAAATTGTTTACTCGATAACAGATTATTGGATTAAAAAAATGCAGTATTTGATTAGCCATTGCGTTTCTATTATAGAGCAAACACTTATTTTTCGGTAATGAACCTAGTCCTGTATTTTCTGTATTTAAAGCAAAATCACTCTGTATGAAAATATACATATAAATATAGTGTGGCTAGACCTATGTATCCAAATGTATTTTGATGGGCTGAATTCGAATCTAGAACTGCTCGATCACCTTCTACTTTTTTAAATGCGAAAAACCGCCTTTAAATACAGAAAATATGAAAAACTCGCTCTGGAAGGGATCGCATAAGGTATAATTGGATAAATATACTGGAGGTTACTGAAGGTCCACATTTATATGTATTGCTCCATCATCCTCCATTTTTTAAATCGCTAAAAACCGCTAGAGAAAATATGTAAAATTCTATTTCGCAAAACTAGAGAGAGTCCTTGGCTTCATCTTTAATTCCCTCTAGTAGATTATAATTTTTGACAGTACAAATACACCTTGGACTTTCATGAATTTTTGGTTGGTTTTCTGGTTTCAATACTTTGTTTATATGTCTAGGGTACAAACTGATGAGTCCCCTAGTGATGTGTTTTCTAGCAGTTTTGAGAAACGAAACACACAAAGTAATAATAGTGTTTTTCTCGGGCTGGGCTCGGTGGGGGCGGACTCGCTACCAGAACCGCTATGTCCACCCAAGCATTGGATGCAGAGTCACTACAGAACGTCTCTAATGTCCAAATATTAAGTAACCCATCAAGGACTTAAAATAAAATTAAATATATTTCGTTTAACACGTTATATTAACGTTTAACGAACTTTAACAACACGCCGCCGTCGCGTCGTATGGGTTGTATAGTGAATACCAGAACCTAATTCTTTAGCCGAAATAATCCTTAGTCCCTTATGAATTACAAATATTTAAGGTGCAACATCTATATTTAACAAAAAATTAATTCTATTGTATGATAAACCAAAACCTTGAAATTAATTTGAAGAAGTGATTTGATTTTATTTAACGCGTGTACTTATTAAATTACATTATTCAGACCACATATACATATGCATAGCCTCAATTGTACAGGGTGTCTCATATTTAGCTGCCAACCCTGAACAGGCCGATTCTATGATCAAAACTAAGTAAAAAAATTCATATGAACATGGGTCCGGAAATGCTTCCTAAGGGCACAGGGACCCATTGAAGAGGGAGGAATGGAAATCATTTTTTTGCAATATCTCTCAATCGCGTTGTGATAAATGAATGAAATTTGGTATACACAGCTAAATTTTGATGAGCAATTTGATGGACTAATCCATTTATTTCCACAAGGTCCATTGGGGTGGGTACGGGAGGACCCTTGGTACTTTGCGTGTGTAACTTTTTCATCTTTGACTTTTTAACAAATTGGACAGCAAATTCCGTTTTCCCGAACTGTTTTACGTTAAAAAGGTACTCTTGTTTCAAATCGTTATCTTTAACGGTTTCTGAGAAAATCGCTTTTGAATTAATCCCACTCGAAAAGTGGCGGTTGCAGCTAAGTTGCGGAATACCGTAGGGAATGTCCTCCTTGATGGCAGCCTTTGATTTGGAAACCTTCTCCCGTACTCGCGTTCTGCCGCTGCAGCATTACCATCGCAAAAGCCATAAATAAATAAATATCATATCAACTAACTCTTGTCCCGTAAACTCTTCCATTTTTTTCGCTTAGAATTATTAAATTGGCAATCGGGTTGACAATACTTTGACATAAGAATACCTTGATAATTTTGTTTAAATGACTATGAAATTGACCAAAGTGGGATTAATTCAAGAGCGATTTTCATTCATTTATCACAACGCGATTGAGAGATATTGCAAAAAAATGA